ATGGCACGACATGCGTCATTTTGTTTCTTTTGTGATGTACATTTCTGGTGCCAAGTTTAAAGAACGCTGCTTCAATAATTCTAGAGATATTCTTGATTGAGTGTTGAACTGTTTTAGTGGAACCACCTATGACGTCATCACTCATAATACAACAACGTGAATATCTCTAAAACTAAAAAAGTTATTCCAAAAAGGAAAACGCCATTCTTCTTTACTTTGAAAAGCCTTTCAAATTAGCAGCAATTATTTTTTACCTCATAGGCACTTTAACTACTTTTGCTTTCCCTGTTTTCTTCCTGGTTGCATGAATTTTTTTTCAGATTTCAAAAGCATTTACAGGCAACTGGGATGCAACCAGTTCATGTTGAACTAGGCAACCAAATTTTCCACACTCATTTGCAACTTGAAAAGCATGGCCTTTCTCTCCTTAAAGCTTTGAAATCTTCACCGGCCTCCTTCACACCAAAGCTTGGTATACCCTTGGTAGCCTTTTCCTATGCATTTAAAGCTAACAGCCCACTGCACATCTGAAGCCATTTCTCCAGGATTTAAAAGTATTTATTAAAACCTTAACCCATTGTAAGTAATTAACAAATGTATTTTACAGGTTCTGGCAAAACAACATTGCTTAACATTCTCGCTGGAAGATTGTCCCCAGAAGATGGTGAAATTCTTCTCAATGGAACCAAGCTCAACAAGAAACTGAAAAAGAAGATTTGTTATGTTTTACAAGAAGATATTTTCTTTGCAAATCTCACCCTTCGGGAAACTCTNCAAAATGGCTAGTGAAGCGCAAAAACCATTAGCCAAAATGGAATGTTTACTAGTCTGTGGCTAGTTGGCTACTGTTAGTCTCGAGCCCTGATAATTGTTAATAAAATATTATATATATATTTTATGTTTCAGAAATTGGTAGCCCATTTGAGAGAGGATTATCTGGAGGTATTAAAGAGCATATTAATAGTTATTGTCTAAATTTAATTTTACTTATAGTATATTTATTTGTAAAAATCTATATTTAAATTATTTGAATTTTTTTCTTGTTGAGTGCACGTAATGGTTGATGAGAGCAATAACATATTTTCAATTTTGGAGAGGTATATATTCCTGTGCCACAAATTTATTATGTTTCAACTTATTTCCTTTAGGGGAGAAGAAACGTGCAAACATTGGCTGTGAACTGATTACAAATCCTTCCTTGATTTTCCTTGACGTAAGTTTTTCAAGTCGGTAGATATTAAATACAATAAGATAGACATTAAATACAATAAGATATTAAATACAGTGTCTGTGAGCTTTCAAATAAGGGAACAATAACTGTTCGTGTATAAATTTATTTCCCATTATATCAGTGTTTACAGTGTATACATGTATAGTGGCGACCATCAGTGCATGTTAAAATTATAATATCCAGTTGACATCATTTTTACTACATGTACATCTGGTGTATCAGGAACCGACCTCAGGTTTGGACTCCAGCAATGCCTTGAACCTCGTGAAAACTCTGAAGAACTATGCAGCAAGAGAAAAGAAGACAGTGGTAACCACAATCCACCAGCCATCAAGTCAGATCTTTTACATGTTTGACAAAGTTCTTCTACTGTGTGGAGGACAGGTAAGAGCTCAGCTAACCAGCAGAGCTGGTGTGTGTATATTTATTAATAACTACATCTACATTCATGACTGTATGTATGTGCTCAAGTTATTTTGTTGCTACAGTATTAAATTAACTTTAGCCAACAGAATCTGCTTTCAGTCTGGTCTGTTTTTTTCTCTCGAAATCAGCTGGGGAATATGAGGCAAGGAAATCTGGGACAAGGCAAGGCCAGAGTGTAGCACACAGTTAAGCTTTTTGCCTTGTCTCAGTGTCTCCTTCTCATCTATACCGCACCTTTTAGCATTCACTTTCACAGGTATGCACAATTGAATCAGACTCAAGGGAAGAAGAAAAACTGAGGGCAAAAATGAAAGAGCAATGGCAAGCAGTTTATCTGCTCTCTTAAGTCAGTTACATTACTAGATTGTATTTTGTAAACAGCGAACACCAGTGAACTAAAAGTCAAAGCACATGTTAATTTTGTATTTTTTTGTATGACAGGTAGCTTATTATGGGAAGGCTGGCAAAGTGCTTGATTTCTTTGAGAGTATTGGTCTGGTTTGTGATGCTCACTTCAACCCGGCAGACTTTATTTGTAAGTACATTGCTATTTGTAAGAAATATTTTAGTCTGCTAATCTGTAATTAACTCTTTAAATTGTATTTGACGTTCTTACGTTTGTCATCAGTGGAAAAAGTAACTGAAGGAGAAGAAGTTCAAGAAAGGATTGTGAAAGGCTGGGATGAAAGGTGAGCATGATACAAACGTGTTTGTACAAACTTACAGTTTAATGTTTTCAGCAATAAAGAGTACATTGCATGACAAGTACATCCGTGATTCCATGTGCTTGGTCATTTGCCCCTGTAAAATCATTTCCAAATATGTATTAAAAGTCCCTGCTGCAAACCTAATTCATCTTTCTTGACTAATATTCTGTTGTTGACAAATATGTGTTCTTGGTGTGCCCAAGAACTCAATGTACACTTTGTGACAAACTCAATGTGCTTTATCCGATTTTATGTATAATGTTGATCTCCATCTGAATTGGAAATTTACAAGTAAGTTTCGTATTGCAGGCGGAAAAGACATCAGAAGTACTCAACAATGCCCAGTAAGTATACACCAGTAAAACTTGAGAAGTCAAGACCTACTACAGAGAACAATAGCAAAGACGAGCTGGAAAAAGGCCAAGACACAGCAAGTGAAACAAGTAGCAGAAGTTCAGATAAACGATCTTATGGATATCAGGCAGATGAAGTTAGTGCTAAGCAAAAAGATGGACAATCAACAGTAACTGGAAACCCGCTACACAAAGAAGAAATTAATAAATCTGATGTCCCTGAGAAAGAATTTGAAAAAGACACTTTGAAGAGCTCTGCAAGCATCGAAGATAGTGAATCGGATGATGGGTTGTCAGAAGCAGTTGATCAAAATGAAGTGGTAACTGAACTCTTACCTCATGAAAAACAGAAGATGGAGATGGGACTGAATGAAACCCCAAATGGATGTGCACCATCAAACGTTCATGAAACATCTCTAGAGCTTTCTGAAACAAACGAGAGTTCTACTCCTCTGATTCAAAATCCAAAACCATCCAAGACTTTATGGAGAAATGTACGAGATTCGTTTACTAAATCATCCGAGGCGCTAAACCCTCCAGTTCACACGGAGGCTCGGTTGTCCTCTGCAGACTTCAATGTGGCTGTTGTCACTTACAAGCGTACTACTTCACGGGATTACTCCAAAGTCGACATCCATTACCATGATGATGATGAAGATCAATCAGCCTTGTACAGCGATATCTCCACATCATGGGCCACTAGTTTCTGGACACAGTTCACGGTTCTGTTGCAGAGGACGTTTAAACAGTCCAAGCCTGAAATTCTTTCAAAGCTTAATTTTACTCAGGTATGTAATCATTGCCTAAAATTCATTTTACATGATTTTAGCTGAGGGTAGCCTCCAGGTTTCCCATGATATTTTCTCATTTACCTGTATATTAAACAAGGGATGAAGCTAACAGCTGGCTCCCAGATTTTTTCACCAGCTGAAGGAGCGCTCTGAAATTTCAGTAGAAAACGGGCAACTTTTTAAGTGTCCTTATATAAGTGCAAGGTGCTAGAAAGTCGGATGGGCTTGTTCACAAACCAACTTAGTTCGGGTTGTACTAGGTACATCCCTGTGGGCAGGAAGACGAACAATTTTATCGACGAAGAACTGAAGGCTACTTTTGAAAATACTCCAAATGAGACAACCAGCTTGAACGTTATGACGAAGTTGTCCTTCATTGGAGTAAGCTGAAGCGATTTCTCCATGATATTGTTTGTGTCTGTTTTCCCAGTCTTTTTCCTCTCC